CGACGTAAGTTTCATTCCATGTTCAATGCTAAATTCCTGGGGGGTGTGCCTACAAACGAGGACTAACAATAGAGCTATAAATCAATGAACATAATAAATCCCTCTAAGATTCTCCAACCGAAACAAGTGGAAAGTTGTTGAGGTATCACTGAAGTCCTAATTTTCAACCTTCTGCTTTCATTTCATCGTTTCTCCCGCTTGATAACAGGCACCCGTTGTAGCTACACAGTATTGTGCAAAAGTAATGCAAACGTATTTCGCTGAAATTCGTGGCTTTTCAACAAAAAAATATGGAATTTTCGATGGAAGCAAATTTTCCACAAAAAGTCAATAATTCACAATGCCTATTGTTCCCAACTTTGTGAATTTTCAAACAGCAATTTGCTTGGAACAAAAATTGACTTCTAATTTTTGAGCGAAAAATTGTTCTGTTCCATAAATGACTTTGAACATTTCAGCAAAATTTCGCTCTTTATTAGCTCTACTTGAACATTTCCAAGCATTTTGTGGACGACAATTTGCCAAGTTCGAATTTGCTAGGATGATTTTTTCTGTTGTCATCTCACAATGCGTAAGCTTGTCCGTTTACATAACAGTTCTGTAAGACTCACCTGGATATACTTCAAAGGTTTCCTTTACTGGTTAGTTTACGTTAAAAGCATCGCAGTGTTGGGGACTAGGGCACATTTTACGAAATCATGAAACTTGATCACTTTAATTAGAAGAGTTTGTGCAACAATTTAGGAGTTAGTCCAGTTCGATATAGCTTCGAGTTAAGACACTGTGCAACCTCTGCAAACTTGTGACCATTAAAGCTTTTAGAAAATCAACCTTGTGACTTGGCTTGGATACTGCTCCAGTGGCCGGAGAATTCCAGCAAACGTGGCGACCACAACGAGAGGATTGTGAGTATAATTTACATCTTCAATTTGCCTTGTGCTTTTCATTTGCATCTAAACAAACAGGAAGCCAACACCTAAACCTTGAAACATGGCAAACGCTGAATCTACACTCAAAGCGAAATTAAAGCAACTCGAAAGAACTGGAGATAAAACCAGCGATGTTCTTAAAGGCGGAAAGCGATCTGCGATATCGAGACACCTGACAAACCTAAAGGAATTACTAACAGAAGTGGATAACGTGCAAAGAGCATTCGAAGCAGAGAAGATAACAGCGAAGGTTAGTGATGAAGAAATCAGCGCATGGAATGATGGAATTATAGTAAAAATAGAAGTAGTGGATGGTCATATCGAAAACCTCGAATGGTTGGCGAGACAGAAAATGGAAGTAGAAAACCAAGAGCAAGAGAAGATGCAGTTTGAAATAAAACTTCACGAGACAAAGCTTAAATTACAAGAAGATTTACAGCTCAAAATCGGAAACCTAAACCAGTTCGCGGAAACGTGGTCAGCTAGGCAAAGCTAACTAAGCTTGTAATAACCAAGTTTAACTGAACATACGCCGACTGGCCAAGATCCTGGGGTCAATATTCCAAATCCATTGACAAGTCAAATGTGCCGCCTGTGACTAAACTCACATACCTGCATGAATTACTGAACGCCAGAGTAAGGAAGATAGTTGAAGCATTGCCACGAATAGCCGAAGGTTACAACAGAGCCCTATCAATTCTTAAAGATCGATTTGGAAAGGAGAGCGAAACTGTGAAGGTCTATGTAAAGGAGATTCTTGACCTGCCTTACACGCCTACCGGAAACTCACAAAGAATTCACGAATTCTACGAAAAAGCTTTCCTATAGTGTCCAATCCCTGGAAACACTCAAATCGCTTCATGAAGTAAATGGTATGGTTTCCTTGACACTCAAGAAACTTCCAACAATCAGAGGGGACCTCATACAAAACAATCCTGACTGGGAAACCAGGGATTTCATCAAATTTACCGAAGCACTTTGCCAATGGATGTGCCAAAACCCAATGGTTTATTTCAAAATGGAAGATCCACTGCAACACAGGAATTCGAAATAAGACAGCATATTTCAAACTCAGCAGAAAAGGGCATGCAAGTGTGTTTACTGTCAAGCGGATGACCACAAACCATCAGAATGTGGCAAAATCACCTCACCGGTGGATTGCAAAGAGTTTCTGGCCACGAAGAAGCTTTGTTTTAATTGTACTGACCCTCGTACATCATCGGAATGCAAAAGTACCACATGTCAAACCTGTGGTAAACGGCATCATACTTCAATCTGCAGTTTGTCAAAGGAAGTGAAAACTGCAGGAGTGCTGACAGCTCATCAACCTGAAAACAAAGAAGTTGTCTATCCTTTTGTTCTCGAGGAAATCGACAGGATAAAAACACATCCTTTACTTGACATTGGCACCAGAAGCTCTTACGCCTCAACTAAACTTATCAATCTTCTCAACAAGAAGCCTAAAGAGACAGCGACTAAACGGATAGACAAGATGCTTGGCTCATCAACCAACGTAGGGATTTACTCACAGACCCTTGGAGCAGTGGACGGAGAATTTGACATGAACATTGAACTCACGAAAATTCATAAGCCTCAGCCACTGACACTCAATAACCCTAATTATGCGACTCTGCTAAGTAAATACAGCCACCTCAAAGAAGTCAAGAATGAAGACAATGATACAAGACCTCGAATTCCCATTCACGTAGTCTTAGGCACAAGTGAGTATGCCACAATCAAGCAAGTACTGCACAAAGAGTGGGAAAACCTGGACAACCTGCTGCTGAGAAAACATTCCTTGGATGTACTTTAATGTCACCTGGAAGAGAAGACGTCGGTAGTCCTATGCTTCTAACGCAATCAGCTTTAATGGGTTATGAGCAACTCTGTGCCTTGGACGTGCTTGGCCTGGCCGACACTCATGAGAACGACCTACAAGCCGTCTACGAAGAGTTCAAAGAACAGCTGGAGAGAAACCCAGCCGGCTGGTACGAAACAAAGCTGCCATGGAAGGGAAACCACCCTACACTACCAACAAATGAAGCTGGAAGAGACGCCTGGATCAACTAATCTGCAAACTGGAGCGAAACGGTCAATACGAAGAGTATGACAGCATAATCCAAAATCAACTACAAGAGAGAATTGTCGAACCAGCACCTGAGACTACAACTGGAAGAGAATTCTATATCCTGCACAAAGGAGTGAATAGAGAAAATGCAGAAAGTACCACACTCCGGATCGTGTACGATGCCTCAGAAAGAGAGAGAGATAACCAGCCATCCTTAAATGATTGCCTCCACCCAGGGCCCCTGCTCCAGAACTGTCTGAGGGACATCCTAGTGAGATCGAGATTCTACCCAGTACTGCTAACGGGTGATCTTAAGAAAGCCTTCCTTCAAGTTTGCATAAAGAAAAAGGAGAGAGACTCTTTACGCTTCCACTGGAAACCTCCAACCAGTAGCAAGACCTCCGTTCTCTGATTCACCCAAGCTTTCTTTGGAATGTCTTGCTCGCCCTTCCTCCTTGGTGAAGTTATTAACCAGGATCTCAACACATGGGAAAGTCAACACCCTCAGCTGATAAAGGAAATCTGCGATGGCTTGTACGTTGACGATCTAATGACTGGTGGGGGGACTGTCCAACTCACTGCAGGAAAAAAAGTCACCACCACAAAAATATTCAGATGCCTCATTCACCATTCACAAATGACACTCAAACGCACCAGAATTGGAAGCAGACAGAGGCTTGCCGTGGGAAGAGTTAACGCACACCAAACAGCAACTTGGAGGGGCAAAACCGTCGGAGGGAAACTTCCTAGGCCTTCCGTGGGATAGAAAGAAGGATATCATCAGCGTTATTCTCCAGAGCAGCCAGACCGAAACGACGAAGAGAAGTGTGCTGTCCCATCTAGTGAAGATCTACGATCCTCTAGGGCCTGCGTCGCCAGTGACACTCAACTTCCTGGGCCTTTACTGAAACGTTGGAAGGAGCGGAATGCCACACTCACCAAGAACTTCACAGTCCCACGAGCACTCTCAGCCTATCATCGACTGATTCTGAGCCTCACACTACACGCATTTGGCGACACTAGTGCGAAGGGTGTCAGTGCTGCAGTTTACGCCGTCGTCCATCAAGAACAAGAACTCTCTCAGCAACTTCATTTGCGCAAAGTCAAGACTTACAAAGAAAAACCTGACAATACCAAGACCTGAATTGGTCGCAGGTCACATGGCCGTGAACCTGATAACAAATGTGCAAGCAGCCCTAAGTTCCCTACCTCACCCAGCTCACTGCTTGCTTGACTCACCTGTCGCGCTCTACTGGATCAAGGGTCAAGGGGAGTATCGACAATTCGTTTCGAACAGAGTTCATAAGATCCAACAACATGAACAAGTCAAGTGGCCCCATGACCCAACTGAAGACAATCCGCCGATATGGGGAGTCAAGGAGGAAATGCGATCAACAACAACCTCTGGAAGCATGGCCCAACTTGGCTTTGTGATGCATCAAACTGGCCACCTGACATAATGCTAGAACCTACTCCTGAAACCATGGCTGAAGCTAAAGTGAAATGAGAAGCTCTCTCCATCGCCATTCCTACAAGTGATGCTCTAGACCAAGTGCTTAACAGCCACCCACTACCAAGAATCCTGCAAATTGGAGCGTGGGTGTGGCGGTTTATTCATAATTGCCAAGTGCAACCAAGAAACTGAAAGAATGGTCCGATCACTACCGATGAAATGCAATGCCAAGAACTGTGGTGGATCAAGCAAGCTCAACAATCAACCCAGCAGCAAGCCAACTTCCAAGCGGCAAACGGCAGCTAAACCTTCAGGAAAATGACCAGCAAGTTTTAGAATGCTGAGGACACATTATGGGAGAATATCCAATTTATCTGCCAGACAACCATCCCTTCACCGCGAAGTTGGTCTTNGTGATGCTCTAGACCAAGTGCTTAACAGCCACCCACTACCAAGAGTCCTGCAAATTGGAGTGTGGGTGTGGCGGTTTATTCATAATTGCCAAGTGCAACCAAGAAACTGAAAGAATGGTCCGATCAGTACCGATGAAATGCAATGCCAAGAACTGTGGTGGATCAAGCAAGCTCAACAATCAGCCCAGCAGCAAGCCAACTTCCAAGCGGACAAACGGCAGCTAAACCTTCAGGAAAATGACCAGCAAGTTTTAGAACGCCGAGGACACATTATGGGAGAATATCCAATTTATCTGCCAGACAACCATCCCTTCACCGCGAAGTTGGTCTTCAAAGTGCACTTACCTACCCTGCATGGAGGGGTTGGTCTCACTATGGCTAAGGTTTGTGAGAAATACTGGGTGCCCCGGCTACGACGCCTAGTCAAGAAGTTCAGAGGAAGCTGTCACGGGTGCATAAGATTCCAGGCCAAAGTTTACCAAGCACCACCACCAGGAAATCTACCCACAACCAGAAGAGGGTTCAAGGCTGTTCCAAGTAATAGGAGTAGATTTTAATGGACCAATTCACTAGCAATCTAAACCCAAAACCGAAAACAAGGTGTACATGGCATTGTATGCATGCAACCTGACAAGAGCTGTCCACCTTGACCTGTTAAAATCCTTAAGATCTGAATTTATAGTGAGCCTCAAGAGATTCGTGGCTCGAAGAGGGCGACCGGAAACTACCTATTCCGACAATGGTTCAACGTTTCAACCTGCCAAGAAGTGGTTACTGAAGGTTCAACAAGATGAAAGATTCCACGAGTTCCTATCCAATCGAGCCATCAAGTGGTGTTCTAACCTGAGTCGTGCCCCATGGTGGGGAGGTCAATTTGAACACCTTATTGGCCTCTTCAAAACTGCATTTTACAAGACCATCAGCAACGGGACCCTCTGCTGGTCAGAGCTAGAAGAAGTCGTGCTTGATGTTGAGGTTGCTTTCAACAACCAGCCCCTGAGCTACCTTGAAGAAGACATCCAGCTTCCTGTGTTGACCCCAAACTCCATGCTGCACATCAACTCGAGCTACATTCCCAAATTACAACCCCATCATGTGCTGGATAAGGATCTGAGAAAACGAGCCAAATTCCTTATGAAGTGTAAAGAAGTGATGTGGAAACGATGGATGGCAGAATACGTCAAAGACCTTTGAGAAAGCCATTGTCGAGCAGGAGGAGAACAAACACTCCATCTCAACTCCGGAGATGTTCTCATTATACGAGATGACAACAAAACCATTGGAAGCTAGCAGTTGTCACCGACTTAATCAGAGGCAAAGATGGCATCATGAGAGGAGCCAAACTGAAGACAGACAGGGACATCCTCGAACGTGCCATCCAAAACCTTTACCCTCGAGTTACATTGTGCCCAGATGCCAGGGAGGTCCAGGCTCAACCCAGCTGCCCCTAAATTCTATGAAAGGCCACAAAAAGATGCCACTGCTGTGGCAGCAGTGCGCATACAAGAAATTGCGGAACAACCTGAACTTTGAACATTGACATTAGATCGTTAAGAAAGTGAACATTGATTTTAGTTATAGATTTATTTGCTTTGTTAGTTGAAGCTTGTGCCCAGTCTGAATGAAACATGTTAGTCCCTTCTTGGAACTTACATGGGGGAGGGTGTAGGGGACTGGGGTACCTATTACAATATCGTGAAACTTGATCACTTTAATTAGAAGAGTTTGTGCAACAATTTAGGAGTTAGTCCAGATTGATATAGCTTCGAGTTAAGACACTGTGAAACCTTTGCAAACTTGTCGCCATTAAAGCTTTTAGAAAATCAACCTTGTGACTTGGCTTGGATACTGCTCCAGCGGCCGGAGAATTCCAGCAAAGCAGCTCTTACACAATTATTCTTCGGTCTTTTCTTGGCTCATGTTTGTAGGCCACAAAGATCACTCAAACCCTGACCTACGCCATGTTCTTGTAACCCAGACTCCGTGCAAACTTGTTCTTTTACCATAGCAACCGCTAGTGTTTAATAGTGCTAACGTGCATTACACAATCATTCTCACTGAAACTCTCTTGTGGTTATCATGCCAAAAGTTTCCAATTACACGCAAACACGAATCAAGCTTCTTTACAAGATCTCCACCCAGCTGAGATATTTAAATTGCTAAAAGGAGAAGGCTCACTTGTCAGTTTTGCCAGTGTAACACGAATAATCAAAAAGCTTCGACTCACCAGCTCCATGTCTAATCTAACACGTTTTGGAAGACCCACCAAGCTATCTGTAGAAGCAAGCACTTTTACAGATCAGCAAATGCGAAGCAATGATGAGATGACAAGCGCTCAGATCCAGAAGAGGCTGGCAAAGTGTGGCGTTGCAGTGAGTTCGTCCACAGTGCGAAGATCTCGCAAGCAACAAGGCTGGACACTATAGCGGACTGCTTACTGTCACCTGATACGCGAAGCCAACAAAGTAAAGAGATTGGAGTACGCTCAGCGCATCATAAAGAGTGGCGATACTTTTTGCAACGTCATTTTCAGCGACAAGTGTTCCATTTCCCTTGTGCCGTATCGGTACACCTATTACAGGAAGGTAGACAAGCCAACGAAGCAAAAACCGAAACCAAAACATCCGCTGAAGGTTCATGTTTGGGCAGGAATTAGCAGACACAGTCCCACAAAGATTTGTATCTTTGATGGCATCGTGGATGCTGATTTGTTCTGCAACATCCTGGAGACCATGCTCATCCCATCCATTTGAGAAAAACTTCCCGACCACCGGTTCATGCAGGATAATGACCCGAAACATACGTCAAGAGGAGCAAAGGCTTTCTTCCAAGAAAAAAATATCAACTGGTGGTGTACCTGCAGAGAGCCCAGATCTCAACCCAATAGAGGACTTGTATGGCACGCCATGTGTAGCAAAATTACTTTTCAACATATTACGACATATTACGACTCGTCATGTGTCGAAAAGACATGAAACAGGTTGAAATACGTCAAAATAAGTAATGTCATATTATGTCATGTAATTCTCGAAATAAGACGGTTGTCATGGCTACACCATGTAATCCGAAGCTCGTAATGACTTATACCATGTAATGTGAAGCCGATAGTGATGTTCAAACCCTTGGTTACTGCCTGTTGTTAAAGACGGAAACTGTTCTCATACACAAAGCCTATTTACCCCAGTTCCGCTCAGCTCAATATAGTTCCGCCATATTTTGATCGTTTTGCTCTTTGCCTGATCTTCTTCTCGTGGAAGTTGCTATTCAAGCTCACAGTTCGCTCGGTAGGTTTATTGTTGCTGTGTATTTACATTTGGTTCTTTAGATTTATTGCTTTATTTATTCAGTGTTATCTCGTTGTTGTTGTTTGCAGCTCCATATTGATCTGTTCCTCTTGCATGTGCTTTATCATTGCTGTGCTCAGTCATTCTCTGTTGGATCCATCTTTCTTGTCTGTCTTTCCGTTCATTTTTGTTCGTAATTTTTAACTCCCAATTGTCCAATAGAATCATGTCTGGATATTCTCCTGACTTGTTTCTGGAAAATGTGGACCAGGAGTTTATTTGCAGTATCTGGTGAGTAAATGTTATTCCTGCATATTTTGCAGCAATTTATGAGTTCTCTGCCAACCTGCAATGGTTTCATAGAGGTTACGGTTTGTTGTCCCATTACAGACCATGTGATATTCCCTAGAGAATTGTTCTTTTAACCATCTAAGTCATTTTTTCATATACACGCAGCTATTTGAAAATTTGAAAGGAAGAATTCTCAAGAGTTTCATCACATGGTCTGAAATGGGGCAACAAACCGCCGAGTCGAAAAAGTTCCATTCCTATATAAGTAATGCCATCAACTTTTCAATCAAAAATCGTGGAATTTTTGAGACGTATTTGTAGAATCAATTTTTGTGTCTAGTGCGAAGCACAGACACCATGAGAAAACGCTAAAATCCTCTGGTGAGTGCTTCATATATGGCAAATTATTACGTCATACGAATAAAGTTTCACCGAGGTTTCTCCTACGTGACGCATTACATGAAGCATTCTTTACTGGGTACCAGGAGGTTAATATCGATAATCACTCGTAATCTCTTCGTGACCCGAAATAAACAACCAATGACAGTCGGAACCAATCGAATGTGTATTGGTAGAGATGACAATTGCGCCATCACCATGTGCTTTCCACGACAACTCCCGACAACTGCAAGAAAACTGATTATGACGATTTGCTTTCGTTGCCAAAAGTGGAGCTGGTCCGACAGGTTAAAGAGAGAGTAGTGATACGTGTGTGATACGAGTTGTCCTATCGGTAAGCTACCTTTTAGTTTCTTACTTTGTGATGAATTTCTTAAGACGTATTTTCTCAGTATGCCACAGTTTTCGAAGTATGTGTCAATCCGGCCGAATGAAAGGTTTTGAAAGGTGCTTCAAAGTTGAAGATCAAGGTACTTGGCGCCGAGAGAATCTCCATGCTGCAATTTTGCGACCGTATGCGAAGAGGATACAGATTAAGCTTTATGAGCCCCATTTGGGGAAAGAAAAGCCCGTTATGGGAAATATTGAGCCCCTTTTGGGGATAACAAAGCCCGCTGAGGGATTAAATAAGCCCTGTCAGGGAAATGTAAACGGCAGAAAATCTTTCGCCGCTGAAGGATTTAATGTGAAAATACCTTTCATTAGCCTAACATATACAAAAGCTGTGGCGATTTCCTTCCGAGAAAGTCTTGTTAAATATCACCCAAGGGTCGTTTTTACTGAATCTTTCCATGCGATGGTTAGCACTGATGAGGTGTGCTCGCCGTGTGAGAGAGTATTTGATAGACATTGCAAAGTACAGCAAAAGTCATAGAGACCGAGAGCCGTCAAGATTACCGATAAAAAAGATTATGAGCTCCATGAAAAAGAGAAAAGCTAGATGCAAGCTGAAGTGCATTTTCAGGAAATCTACTCCTAAATCTTCAAGTTTGTACAAGTTAGCGACTGACTATAACTTATGGTATGTAACATACGTACACAGATGCGACTGTTTTTT